ACATTCTTTGATGGCTACAAGGGTGGGGAGGGAGGGAGAGGGGTATTCACTTACTAGATAGTAGACAAGAATTACGTAAAGGGAAGGACAACACACACTACAGGGGAAGTCAGCACAACTGGCCTAAATCAAAGCTAAGAAGTTTCCTGAATACAAGCAAACACTTTGAGGGATAGAGTAGCCGGGGCGGGGGCCTGGGGACCATGGTTTCGGGGGACATCTAGGTCAACTGGCATAACAAACTTTATTAAGAAAATGTTCTGCATCCCATTTCACTGAGTGGTGTCTGGAGTCTTAAAAGCTTGCAAGGGGCCATCTAAGATGCATCAATTCGTCCCAACTCACCTGGAGCAAAGGAGAATGAAGAACACCAAAGACACAAGGAAAATATTAGCCCAAGAGACAGAAAGGTCGACATAAACCAGAGACTTCATCAGCCTGAGACCAGAAGAACTATATGATGCCTGGCTACCACCAATGACCGCCCTGACAGAAACACAACAGAGAGCCCCTGACGGAGCAGGAGAAAACTAGTGTGCAGAACTCAAATTCTAGTGAAAAGATAAGACTTAACAGTTTGACTCAGACTGGGGGGGACCCCGGACTCTCTATTAGCCCAAAACTAAAACCATTCCCCAGGTCAACTCTTCAGACATTAGACTACTATGGGAGATAAAATGATATTCGTGAAGACTGTGCTTCTTAGCTCAAGTAGATACATGAGACTAAATGGGCAGGTCCTGTCCAGAGATGAGATGAGAAGGCAGAGAGGGTCAGCAGCTGGTTGTATGGACATGGAAAATCCGACGTGGAAAGGAGGAGTGTGCTGTCACAGTACAGGGAGAGCAACTAGGGTCACATAACAATGTGTGTATAAACTTTTGTAGGAAAAACTAACTTGAATTGTAAACTTTCACTTAAAGCACAATAAAAGAAAAAGGAAAAAATCACATACTGTACAAAACCCTTTTTTATAAAAATTAAGAGTCGACCAAATAAAAAACATGCTTTTTTTGAATTGCATGTACATGAGTTAAAACTAAACAAAAAGGAAAGAAAGGTGACAGTGACCAGGATTTAGGATGGTGGTTATCCTGGAGCAGGGAGACCAGAGGATGCGATGGGGGTACAAGACAAGTGTGCCCAAATTTTCTCCAGCCACCAGGCTTCACTTAAGCAAATTTTTTTTTACAGTGTGGTCTTTTCAAAATGGAAGCTATTAAGAGAAATGGCTCTCATTCCCTTGCTGTGGGCTACTTGACCTAGCAGGTAAACCTGATCCCACCTGGCCCCTAAGGCAAGAAGAACACAAATAAAAAACTTGTTCACCCATTTTTCAGATCCTTCTATTTGAGAAAGGCACAGGAAACCTCTTCGGTTTGCAAGTGCCTGAATCTTGCCTTGATTCCAGCCATGCACACACTTGGAAAACCACAATGGAAGCCTGGGGTGGGGGCAGCGGGTATCAAGATCATATACACACCGCCCTGGGCACAGGCAAAGCACTTGAGAATGCACCCTGCTGCTGGCAGGCTTGGAGAATGGACATGGCTAGTCTAGAAGGCAGGGTGTGGCTCAGAATCAGGATAGGGGAGCAGGAGAGTGCAGTCAAGCATGCAAAGTACTGAGACGCATAAGGAAGGACAGAATAAAGTGTCCTCCAGAAGGCATAACCAAGCGCAAGGAAGAAGTGGCAATTCCGGCTCTTCCACAGAAGGGCCTTTATCACCACAAGCCAAGCCAGGGTCTTTCTGCAGACTAAGACTCAGCCCCAGTGGCATTCAACTGATGGGTAAAGATGAAGAAACCCAAAGGCCAACTCCAACTGGTGCGTCTGGGTAAGCCATGAAGCTCTTTCGTTCAGCCTCAGTTTCCCTATCTAGGAGACTAAATGAGAGCCAAACAAGAGTACCAAATCCGTTGCTGTTGAGTGTCTGTCATAGTGATCCTATAGGACAGGGCAGAACTGCCCCACAGGGTTTCCAAGAAGCAGCTGGTAGATTCAAACCGCCAACCTTCTGGTTAGCAGCCGAGCTCTTAACCTCTATACCACCAGGGCTCCAACCAGAGTACAGTGCTATACAAACATCAGGAATCATTCATTCCACCCAGGTGAGTCGAGCAACAGTTCTACCTACCTCGGAATCTGGAAAAGTCCAAAAACAAAACTACAGAGCTGGACTGTGCAAGCGTACACACAAGGAACTTGTTTCCACTCTTTCTGCCCTCCCCCCAAAACAAGTATCTGTCCCCACAACCTTATCAGCAAGCAGTAAGAATTTTTCTTAGATATGCAGAGAATCTGCACATTTCAGATTACCCTAAAATGCCAACTGTCTATACACAGTTCTTGTAAGAAAACAAGACAGGACATCTTTGCTCTTCCACTTAAAACACAAACTCATGAGGTCAGGTTTTACTTCCACTACAGCTAGGCCTTCCTGCCACTGTGGGGCCCTAGATCATAAACATGACCTTGACCCCTACAGTTTAGTAGTACCTGGGCAAATACAGATAACTTGGAAATGCTGAACTCAAGGGTGAGTGGGCTTTATGACACACCTGGAACAGACACAGGTCAGATGTCTGCTCCACAACCTACTGGGCAGGTGACCTCAGACAAGCTACTTCCCCCTTTCAAACCTCAGAACTCCTCATCTGTACAACAAGACAATACTGGAACCCACCTTACTGTGTGGTTGTGAGGATGAAATACATGAATATAACGTAAAATGTGGTGTGGGGTCCACAGCCAACATGCCCCATGCATTCGAGAAGACAGAGTGACATCCACTTAAAGCAAACCACTGACGTCCCCACCATTGCATGGCTTATCGAGAGGGAGCTCTTTTGGCTCAGTCTCCTCACTCTAAGAACAATGTGTTCGGTGTGATATGTAATATGTACTGTCTTAGTCATCTAGTGCTGCTACAACAGAAATATGACAAGTGGATGGCTTTAACAAAGAGACATTTATTTCTTCACAGTAAAGTAGGCTAAAAGTCCAAATTCAGGGCGTCAGCTCCAAGGAAAGTCTTTCTCTCTGTGTCAGCCTTCTCATCAGTGTTCTCCTGGACTAGGAGCTTCTCTGCACAGGGACCCCAGGTCCAAAGGACATGCTCTGCTCCTGGCACTGTTTTCTTGGTGGTATGAGGTCCCCTGCCTCTCTGCTCACTTCTCTCTTGTATATCCCAAGAGACTGCTTCAGAACACAATCCAATCTTGTAGATTGAGTCCTGCCTTACTAACACAATTGCCACCCATCCTCCCTCATTAACATCATAGAAGCAGGATTTACAACATATAAGAAAATCACACAGTATCAGGAATCACGGCCCAGTCAAACTGACACACACATTTTTGGGGGGACATAATTCAATCCATGACATGTATGGGGCCGTCTTCAGATCAGGGGGCTGAGGGGCACCGGGACACCACATGAGAAGGGCACATTAGAAACACATTTCAGATTTCTTCCCTGCCAGTAGTTAAAGACAATCTGTGACCCCGCCCCCACCCCCACCCCCACCCTGGAGTGGGAACCATCACTTAACTTCAGCAGAGCTCTCAAATTCTCAGGTGCTTCACAGACTCAACCCTCCTCTAGGAGCTGTGTTCCCAAAAGCTAGGAAGGACTGTATCAATCCTGTGAGGGGTGACCTGAAGGGTTACTACCTGGCAAAGTGAAATGAGCAAGGTGACCCAAGTTCCAGCAAACAGCAAGGCACGGCCTTCCAGTTTGCAACAATGACAGAATCGTGCTTCTCAGTGTATGGAGTCCCTGGCTGGTGCAAATAGTTAATATGTTTTGCGGCTAACCAAAAGGTTGGAGGTTCGGGTCCACCCAGAGGCACCTCTGAAAAATCAGCCTGGGCACAGTTCTACTCTGACACACATGGGGTCACCATGAGTGGGAATCAACTCAATCACAACAGGTTTTTCTCAATGTGTGGTGCCAGAACTTGTTAGAAATGCCGAATCTCAGGCCCCTCCCCAGACCTACTGCATCAGACACTCAGGGGATGGGTCCCAGCACTTCCTGTTTTCACCAGCCCCCCAGGAATTCGGATCCATGCTCAAGTTGAGAACCATTGATTAGAGTGCTTTGAGGTCTCAAAGCTTAACCCAACACCAGGAAACATAACTCAGGCAACAGCCACTAAGTAAGGAGAGGAAGCCTTCAGTATCTTTCTCCCTTTCAACCAGTTTCAGAAGGAAGACAGTGTTAGCTACTTTACCGTTGGACTTCAATTTTGAATCTCACACTGCTTCTGGAATAAGAAAGGAGAACAGTAGGATGCTTTCTGGTATCGCCACAAAATGCCAAGGTAGGCTCCTGAAGGGCAGAAGCTGTGTCTGATCTGTCTGTGAGTCTGCTGTGTCTAGCCCAAGGCCTGGCAACCAGCATTAGGAAAGGCGGGAAACAAATTGAGTGACCAACTGGGGAGCAAACAAATTGCCAATGACCTTAGCTCCTGAATCCAATAGGGTAATGACTCTGGGGGTCTGGCTCCAGCCAGCAACAACCAAAGTGAGACATGAAGACAGCATCTTTCTGTCAGCTACTTCCTGAAAAATATATCCACCTTACTTCAAAAACAGTCTACAGGCCACCACAGACTCAGCTAACAAATTACCAGGGAACTCAGACATGAGGCATCTGGAACCTCTGCTGGAATCTACCCAGGCCCCACAACTACCAAGACCAGAAGGGGACTGAAGCCCAGACTGCTGCCTCACTCGACCTCCACGCTTACCCCAAACCCAAGGTCGCTAGAGGCCATGTCCGCAGGAGACTTCCTGCTAGAGTTCAAGGACTCCAGCCCTTGGAAATGGGCCAGAGGCGTTACTTTTCCTGCTGGAGTGCATGTCCCCAAGTTGTCCCTAGGTGAGTGGTGATGTCCCCCGACCCTGGAAGCCATTCAGAGGCATGGCCTCCTCATAGGAGGCAGCATCCTCATCCTCCAACCTCAGAAGTCCCGTCCCAGCCACTTCCGTACCTGTAGTAAGACAGAAGGCCATTGCTGAGCACGAACCAGCGGCGCTGATAGCCCTTCAGGTAGTTGGTCCACTTGAGGAGCCAGCCCTTGAAGCTGTCCAGAGGCAGTAAGATCGTCGGGGCAGTGGAGGTCATGCCTGTCCCTGAAAATGGCCCCCCCAACGACACTGGCCTTGTCTGTCCCAGCCGAGTGACAGGCAGGGGCTTTAAAGCCGGCAGCGGCCCCGACATAGGTTTGGTCAAGGGCAAGTTTTCCAGCTGCTCTGTTATGGTCTTGGTGAAGGGCCCGGCCCCTACACCTGGGCCAGACCCCGGCCCGGGTGCTGCCCCCGGCTCCGGCGCTGCCCCCGGCCCCAGCGCCAGCAGCAGTCCCGGTCCATGCCCGGGCTCCGGCTCAGACACTGGTTCGGACGCAAGTTCCGATCTTGACACGACCTCAGAAACTGGCTCCAACTCCTGTTCTGACACCGGCTCCCGCTCGGACACTGGCTGAGGCTGAGGCTTTGACTCTGGCCGGGAGCCATACGTGGACACGCTCATGCTCGGCGCCGCCGTGTGGCAGGACAGGCAGGGAACAACCGTGAACAGCGACGAGAGCCCGCGGGAGCGGCCGCCGCAGCCGCCGCCTCGGCAAGGAGCGACCGCTTTCCCCATAGAGCTAGCCGGCCGGAGCGCCGCCCTGCGCTGGGGGAGGGGAGGCGCGGGACCGGGCGGGGGCAGGCTGTGCGCCGTCACGTGCGGGCGGCGCGAAGCAGGGGCGCGCGCCGCCTCGCGCCGCACCGGCGGTTGTGTTCCGTAAGCTCTGCCAGCGCCTGGCGCTCAGGGGACAGACTTAGACCCCTGCCCTCCCTTGTTTCGCCAATGCCCGACTCAGGCTCTGGCCCTTGAAGGGCTCCCTGGAAATACCTGTGGGCCGCGTGCGGGCGACGAGAATGGACAGTGCGTTTCAAGCCACCATCCCTGCCTGCGCGCCAACCCGTGCCAGGCGCTGGGGGAACAATGATGAATGCAGAGCCCGCCGGCTCCCATCGCAGCTCTACCCGCGGGGCCCTGCCCCCCACCGGGGGTGGGAGGAGGGAAGGGAGGTTAGGTTCGGCACACAAAACCACTAACGCGCCCGAAGCACAGGGGCCCTCCCCGTGGCAGCCATTACCTGTCTGTAGGTAGGTCCATCCCGCGGCCACCAGGCACTGTGGCCCGAAGCCGCTCACAGCTCCCGGGCCAGCTGGCCTCTGGTTATTTAAGGGCGCTTCGCCGCGAGCGGCAGCATAGTTCAGATTCTCTAAACTAGTATAGAAAGTTTTTGTAAACTGAGCATCGAAAGTGAAGTTCTGAACTTGAACCTCCTGGATATCTCTGGGAGGACTTGAACAGTCGGTGAAGCCTCTGCAGTATTCCCGTGGAGTTTTAACGTGTCTGTGCATTTTTCTGGGGAGAAGGTCCGTAGTTTTCATTTTCATGGTATTTCCAAAGGAGTCTGTGACTCCAGAAAGGTTAAACATCAGTGATTTTAAAGAATCTATTATAAAGGGAACAGTGAAAAACGAAGACCAAAGAAGAATTGACCATTCAAACTGGTGTTGGCAAAGAATTTTGAACATACCATGGACTGTCAGAAGAATGAACAAACCAGTCTTGCAAGAAGTATAGCCAGAATACTCCTTAGAAGTGAGGATGGCAATTGGAAAGATTTCTTGTTTACTTTGGACATGTCATCAGGAGGGACCAATCACTGGAGAAGGACATCATGCCTGGTAAACTGAGGGTCAGTGAAAAAGACGGAGACCCTAAATGAGATGGATTGACACAGTGGCTACAACAATGGACTCAAACATAGCAACAATTGTCACAATGGTGCAGAACCAGGCAGCTTTTCATTCTGTTGTACATAAGTTCGCTATAAGTTGGAGCCAACTCAATGGCACCTAACAACAAAACAATCATAAAAGGGAAGGTTGATGATGATTACTACAAATAATTGGAAATACAAGTTGAGAGACTGGATACTGGGCTTCTGCCAAGACCTTTCCAGCTTTAGACCTCTGTGCAGCCCCCCCCCCCCGCACCATCCTCAAATATCTTCCCCACCCCCTTATCAACCTATCTACTCCTGTTCTTTGCCTGTGACAAAATAACCTGTGCTAGGGCGAGCCTCCTACATGAAGTGATGGCCAGAAACAGGGCAGACTGGAAGGTCCTAGAAATAGGAGGTGCAGACATGCTGAGCAGGAGTCTCTGCCATCTTTGCTGGTGACCCTGGAACCCCCTCCGGGGCACTTGCCTCTGAGTGGTGGTCTTACCTGCAGTTTTGCAGTGAGCTCTGGAGGGTGGAGACCTGCCCATCTTGGTCTACCCAGTGGTGGTCCTCAAACTCAGTATGCTGATTCACCCCAAGGAAAAGTAATTGTCTCTGGGGAGCAGTGGGTGGGGGAGAACCCGGCAACTGGGGAATGGGGTGGAGTGCTTACTTTTCACTTGTACCCTTTTGGAATTTTTGAATGTTTTATTGTGTGTATGTTTCACTTATTCAAAAAACAATAATAATTGCTCAAAATCACCCCCAGGAAGCTCATTAGAAATTCAGTTTCCACCCACATCTCCCAGAGGTTCCAATGCAATAGGGCTGAGGTGGAATCTAGGAGCATGCATTTTAACAAGCTCCTGTGGGGTTTCTGATGTGGATGGCCCACTCTTTGATGGGCAGTGATGTGGAGCGAACATCTTGGGTTTTGGGAGCCAGACTCGCTCAGGAAATCCTAGCTCTGCCACTTCCTAGCTGTGGGACCTTCAGCCATCCCACTGAGCCCCCAGTTGCTCAACCATAAAATGAGGCTAATGATGCCTATCTCACACATTATGAGTAAAAAGGCACATTTGGCACAGTAAGTGCTCAGTGAATACTCCATCATTATTTAACTAGAGGGTTCTCTGTAAAATGTTTGGTGAAATGAATTAAACAGAGGCCAGAGCAGAAAGAGATGAAACCGAGAGTGACAAGCATCAAAAACAGCCACAATGGGAAAAGCTCAGTGCCTGCTATGTATGTGCCAGAGGTGTTTTCGACCCTCAAGTAGGGAAGCAGACTAGTAATCAAATGCTTAACAAAATGTTTTGACTTGCAATAAAATACAAATCTCTCTAAGATGACTCAGCCTAAGTCGTTAGTTCTGTCAGAAGGATGAAGAAGGCATTACAGGAGGGGCAATGTTTGCGCTTAGTCAGAAGGATGTGGAGTGTTAGGGCATTCAAGGGAAGTCTCAAATCAGGGGAGAACACCTTGTGTGAAGAATGACAAAGGCTCAGTATATCTGGAAGAGTGGGGCAGGAGATGGATGAACGCCCCGCTATGTAGAATGCCCTTTATTCTATGGAAGGTGGGGCTCCTGGGACAAGAGAACCTTTTAATTTTTAAAGCGCCAGACCCTTCTTGGGTCTGGAGCAAAAAATATGCAAGATAAGCCTGCCTGGGACATCTTGTCATGCCAGAAAGAGGCTATTCCAGATCACTGGGGCTGTGTCAAAAGAACTCAGAAGCCAACTTGAAGGGGCTCTACTGGCCAAAGATGGGACAATTTGAATATTTTTTAAAAAAGGTGACAATGTATTGAAACATCAAATATCCATAAGTTAGAATAAAAATTCGTAAGTTAAACCATAAGTTCATAAAGTTACCAAAAAAACAAACAAACCTTATTGGTCATCTTTGAAGGTCGCTACAGCACCAGTTCATTATTCTGAAAGTTTATAAAGGGGAAAAAACCAGTCTGCATCCTTCCTTTCTTGTACAAACTGTATCTCATAGAAACTGAAGGGTTTAGGAGGGGAATCTTTATAGAACAATCCTAATACAGAAGGACTGATAGAAAAAAAAATCATCTTTTGGCAACCTTTAATAAAATAATGGATCTATGCAATGACCATCAATAGGTACTAAAACTACTAGGTGAAATATTGATGAGGAACTTTATAAAGGAAGGACTGAGCTAGCATAAATCTTCTGCAGTGCAATGGATTGCTTTTATATGGCCTTTATAGCCGTGGTCTTGTAACTCCCACCAAATATTTGGGTGGGACTGTGCAAATAAGGTGCTTGTGGCCCACCACGGGGATTTGTCAGCTTGCTAATAATACAAATAAAGTGCATGGAACCCTTGGGGGGGGGGTGGTAACATGCAAATAAGGTTATGGAACCTTAACAAAGGGATTGGTCAGTTTAGCCATCCTGCTAGGCTTAAAAGAGACACAATCCCAGAGCAGAGGGAGACTTGACTACCACCAGGAAAAAGAGACGGGAGCAGAGCGTGTCCTTTGGCCCTGGGATCCCTGCACTGAGACCCTCCTAGACCCAGGAGACAGAGAGCTGTAACACTGGAGAAGGCAAGATAGCGAGAAGCAGCAGAGATAAGCAGCGGCAGCAGAGACAGCAGAACTGGAGACCAGCAGAAGATGGCATGGTGAGCTTCCCAGCCCGTGGAGCAAGAGAGCTGAGCGCCTTTGGGCTGAGGCTTACTGGCGGAGTAGGGTGCCTCCAGGCACTTAACTGGCAGAGCTAAAGAGCTTTGTAACACTTGCCCAAGCAAGGCAGAGGGCAGGCCGAGGAGCCAAGGGCCAGAGAGAGGCCTACGTGCAGGCATGGCTGAGAAGAGGCTGTCCTGATTTAAGAACTGTATCCTGAACTGTAACCTGTTACTTCTCTAATAAACCTCATAACTGTGAGTATGATCTGTGAGTTCTGTGTGGCCATTGCAATGAATTACTGAACCCAACAAAGAAGTATAGTATGCTGTGGGAGGGACGGTTGGAGTTAGAATTGCTAAAAAGACTGGAGAGAGGAGGTATGTCTGACCTCCCCTCATAGGACTCTGCCTTGGCCTGTTGATGCTAATGATTCTCTCTCCCCTTCAAGAAGTTAGAGGTGGTCAGACGCCTTCCCCATACCATTTTTACACTTGGCATCAGAAGTGGAATTTATTGCAATGGCTCCAGAATCATGAAGCATGGGACTTTGTAACAGAGAGAAGGATGGGGCATGGGAAGTGAAAATTTTGATTCTTGGGTGGTTACTTTGGTTACTGTTATCTGTAATGCCTGAAAGGAAAGTAAAAGATGTTATGCTGCAGCTGAGGGAAGCCGCATCTGGAAAGGTTTGGGGCAAAAGCCAGGCCCGTTAAGCAAGATGACTGATAAGGTACCAGGGTCTTCTGGTTCCACCCAGCCAGAGGCCCAAGACCATATGTATATGAATGGGAAGATAGTCAAGATGTGGAGAAGAAAAGATGAAACTGGAATGTTTTAAAAAGGGTTATGTGTTTATTTGAATGTACTATGGATATTGAATGTTTCTCCTACCCAGTGTTGTAAAACAGACCTACCCATATGATGGAAATGAATATTGAGTGTTAACAGATAACAGACAACATGTAACTCCACCTTCAACCAATACTTGATTGGATATGCTAAAAGAACTAGGATTTGCCTGAAAGAAACACAAGCTGTTGGTTTAAATGCTGTAGCCCTGTGATTAGAGTATTGGGGGCTTAGGTTGAAAACCGGAGCACCACCAGGGAAATGTACATTTGAAAAGACACACAGACCTACCCAGAACTGCTGAGAGAACAGGAGATTTGCATTTGAAGGAAGAACCTGCAGAAAAA